CACTGTTGACGGGTGACAGGCAATTTTATCAAATTGATAAGAAAGGATAAGGGGACATTCTCACGACATCTATGACCACTACACTGCTAAGTATTGAAGGCTCAGTGGGGCTAACTTTTCCTTTAGCCATCACTTTCCTGATAACAATAGAAAATGAACTCATCCCACTATCCTACTATATAATGTCGATGTCGACGAGCGGGGGGGGGGGGGTATATTTATCTATAGGATCTATCAAGTTTAAGCATTTGCTAAGGAGTGCAGGATCCGCAGAGTTGCTCTACCTGTTATGATTCGACCAATACAGCGCCGTATGAGCAACCCAGTGATTGAAAGAGTTCCGTTTCCCATTATGGAGCGCGCCTGGCGAAGCCAGGCCAGCTCGGCGAAGCCGAGCTAAAGAGAAGGAGGAGAGCTCGGCGTCAGTCGGGCGATCCGACTGGTCCCTCTAAAAAGCGCTTCTCATGTTGGTGGAAGCACCTTGATAGTGATGGTTATAATTTCGACAATTCAACTTAGGCCAAAGCATGCGCATTTGAAATTTGGGGTCGAAAACCGTAAAGGCCTCCACGATATAACGCTTCACTGAGCGGTCACGTTGCACTAAAAAGAACTATGCCTTTTTCCCCAATGAAGAGCACCCACACTAAGGTCGCTATTCAGAAAGAAACGTGACTTTTACTTCAAACGATACCTTCATTGTCTCCGTGGCCGGTATCAGAATCACAACTCGAGTGTGATGACTCCACATCCATGCCAACGTCTTCATAATTATCCGTTTTCTCTGACAAATTTGAAAGCTGCGGTCCGATATGCGAGGGTATGTGGATACTTATGGGCCTCGTCCTTTGTGAAAATGGAGCTGTATCATTCGGCTTAGCGGTTGTTGATAGCTGCGCTACCCGTCCACCTCCTTCACGAACTTGAATCCTAATGGAAGAGGGATTACAGCTTCCAACCATACTCGCAGGCTTCTGAAACGCTCCTTATCAGCATTTCAAACAACAGCAACAGTTTCAAATAAAAGCAGTAGATTCAAAGTATGAAAAAACCTTGATAATGGACAGGTGCAGAGCTATGTGATCATCGAACAGTTCATCCCGCGATTAGATTAAGCTAGACCAGCCATTCCTCAAACCTTTTTCACCCCTTCAAGCTTTCAAGGACCTGGCTGGTTAAGGAACCATTTTCACTGAGCACTTGTAGAAATTGGTCCAACGCCAGTCATTTCTGTGTACAACACCAAACAATCAAAGACGTCCGCTGGGATTGCCGAGTGAGTGGCCCCAATGAACGATTTCATTTGCGCGGTTCTTGGCAATGAAATACTTGATGAATATGGCAGCACTAATCACACTGTTTCCTAATAAATCCTTACAGTGTCTATAAGACCGCCACAAACACGTCACACGTTCACTGAACAGTCAGGAAAAAATTTACTGCTCAGG